ATTTTTTATTTTTTTTTTTATTTTCTTTTCTTTGTTTCTTTTTTTTTTTTATCTTAAGTTTATTTATTTTCAATTTCTTTAATATTTTAAATTATCTTTACCCAATTATATTTTTTCGTTACTCCGCTTTATTATATCTTTTTTTACGCTTTCTCTCTTTTTTTTATTTTATCTGATCTTCTATTTTTATTTTTCACCTCTATTTTTATACTCATTGATTTCTTAATTATCTTGCTCTTTACTTAGTTGTTTTTTATATTTTTAATTCTTATTTTTTATTAACTTTTTCTTTATTTTTATAAGTTATACTTGTCTCCTCGTCCTCATTTTCGTGTTTATTCACTCCTATATTATTACTTTTTATGCATTTCTCTTATTAATATCCTTTACTGAATGTATTTAATCTCTTTTTATACACCGTATAATTTTTAGTTGTTTTTATTTATGAAATTTACGATATTGCCTTATTACTCAACTATTTTTTTATGTATTTTTCGCACGTATTTTCTTTATCTTTTACTTTTTACCTTTTTTTGTTTACTATTAACTTTTATAAGTTTCTTTGTCTTACTATAATCTGTATTTTCATTAATTCTACCGTGAATTTCATTACTGCTTAACTTACTATTTCATGTGAGAACTCTTTTATCCATATAAATATAAAATTAATTCTATAATGGAATATGAATAAATTATAAATAATAAATATAAATTAATATAATCACTATAAATATCAAATATAAATTCTAGATCATAATAATATAGAACGAATAAATATTAAATTACAGTATAATATCATCTAAATATAAATATAAATTAATATAATAATATAAATATTAACTTGATTATATATGATAGTATTTGAAATTTGCTTGATGATAATATTGTGATATGATGAAACTGTTTTATCTTTCGTATCTTGATAGTATTTATGGTGTCTTTATTAATTCCAGTACTAATATATAAATGTTGTGGTAGAAGTGATATGATTTATTAATGAAATTATCGAATTGGGATGATAATGTGTGTTAATAATATCACTGATAATTTTTTAATGTTTAATGATGAATGTTGATATTTTTAAAATCATGTCAGCAAGGTTATTATATGCTTAAAATATGATGAGATGATACTATATGAATAATGGCGTTTCACTTCAAAATTATTATTTTTGTTGTATTGTTCTGTTTCCCTTTTGTATTTTGTCATCTGTTTGATCCTCATAACTATTTTCAGTCTCATGAACGCTAAATAAAAATACTAGACATTCTTAACAATTCCACATAGAAGATTTTTTTTATACGTCTCCATGCTGGGTGCTTTAGTTACGATTATTTTAGATTTTTTTTCTATTTACTACATAAATTATTAGTGTGGGCACAGCTGCACTGCAATTGTAAACCTACTGCTAGCCATATATATGAACTATATCTCTCTCTCTCTCTCTCTCTCTCTCTTCTCTCTCTCTCTCTCTCTCTCTCTCTCTCTCTCTCTCTCTCTCTCTCTCTCTCTCTCTCTCTCTCTCTCTCTCTGTCTCTCTCTGTCTGTCTATATATATCTCTATATTATATATATATATATATATATATATATATATATATATATTATATATTATATATATATATATGCATGCATCATATACTTCTATTATTCATTTTATATTATACATGTAAACCCTACAGTTTAAACCCTACTAAAGTATATATATATATATATATATATATATATATATATATATATATATTATATATATATATATATATATATATAATATATATATGAATATTAATATGCAAAACACAATTTATAAAATCATATTTACTCTTTACATATCACACATCACACTCTCCTTGTAAACCCTACAGCATAACTTGTGTGTAGTAGAGTGCATGCCTTCGCTACAACTGTTTACATCCCAACTGCTCTTACAATCTTCTCTCGCTATTATGCCTGGCTGGCTGGGAGCTTCTGCACGCGAGGGATCAGACGTGCAAAGGAAAGCTAATTTTGCCGCGACAACGAACTTGGGTTGATAAAGATATATTTTCGTGTTTTTGGGCTCACGGTGGAAATTTTTGTTGTTGTTGCTTTGAAATTGTATTTGTGTTGTGTGTGTGTGTGTGTGTGTGTGTGTGTGTGTGTGTGTGTGTGTGTGTGTGTGTGTGTGTGTGTGTGTGTGTGTGTGTATTTATGTAAATATTTGTGCGTGTGTAGATAGATAGATGAGTATATCAATGTACGTTTGCATGTGCCTAGAATCATAACTATTTTGTAAATCTGTTTTGAGTTACTGATAGAAGTTCATGCAAGACAACATTTTCCCTTTTTGGCCTACACACGAGAACAAAATTCTATATTGAAAAAACAAGACAAAAACGATAGAAGAAAATAAGTTTTTTTATAAAATACCTTCTCTTTTTATTCAAGATTATTCAGAATGTTTCACGTTTAATATTCAGTACAGCATAATCAATAGATATGAGGATAAGCATCAAAGTAGTAATATAATTCATATATAACAAACTGCAAAACATAAAATCATAATTACTTTGAAAAACAACAACGAAAACATGGAGATTATAGCTTTATATAAACCATCCCTCTCTTTAACCTTCCTGTTATTTTTCCTATTTACATTCTCTCGTCTATTTATGTTTCCTTGTTCCTTCTAGAAATGAGAAATAAAAGCAAATAAAAAAATCGAGTTAAAATGAATCATGGCGCATGAGATATATATTTAGGATGTTAGCAAATAAGTATATAAATACGTGAAAAAAAATATATTTATACATCTTTTCAAGTTATTTAGATTTAGCAGGATAAATCTGTGTCTGAAAAGCTTATTTGCAAAGAAGAAAGAAAAAGAAAACTATAAATAGAAGGGAAAAAGAATTATCTCTAATATATGTAGAGAAAGAATAGAGAAAAAAAATAAAGATCAAAATCCCATAACGGTTTTAGTTTTTTTTTTCTTTTTTTTGCTTTGCTATTTTTTTGCTTTTCTTTTCCATTTCTGGCATTTCCTTGCATATTAATATCCCTTCGTTTCTCTTCATCTTCTTGTCCATCTATCAGCTTATCTGTCTATTCCTTTATTTATCTATTTATCTATTCATCTACATCTTTCTATGAGTGCATGTATTCTTATTTTCTCTGGCAGTCTATCTATCTATCGATTTATCTATCGTTGTCTTATGTATGTATTTATATGAACTGGTCTATCTTACTGCACATCTATTAATCTATCTATTCATGCATCTATTTATTTTTCATTTCTATCTATTTATCTAAACAACTCTCTCCTTTAAGAAACTAAATCTATTTAAGACCTTTATTCATGCGTATCTATTTATCCTTTTATTTATTTATCCAAACGGTCCCTTTTCTTACGAAATTAAATTTTTTTTTTTTTATTTATTTAGCTCTTTTGGCTCTCGCGAAAACGCTAAATTTACTTCCCGTGAAAAGATTGTTTGTCGCACGGGAGAGGGGATAGGGGGGGAGGGGAGGGGAGGAGGGGGAGGGGAGGGGGGGGTGGCGGTTAACATCCGTAGATTTTATGTCGTGTTCGGTTTTTCGATTTTTTTTTTTTTTTGTTTTTTTTTTTTGAGCCGAGACAAAAAAGAAAATGAAGAAAAAATGAATGTATATACGTAAATATATGTATATATATTCATATATATACATATATATACTTACATATATATATGGATGTACGTATTACATTTTTCGATGTACGTGCATACACACATACAGAGAGACACACACACACATATCTATATGTGTGTGTGTGTGTGTGTGTGTTCGTTTGTGTGTTGTGCGTGTCTGTGTGCTTATATATATATATATATATATATATATATATATATATATATATATATGATAGATATATAGATATATATATATATATATATATATATATAGATACATATATATAAAACATGTGACGTTTACGGTAATCTGCTTTGATAATCATGAAAAAAAAATTGTCTCTTGCCTAATTGCCCCCCCCCCAAAAAAAAAAAAATCTTACTCCCCAACAGACGGACTCAAAAAAAAAAAAAAATCTTAAAGAGACTTCCATTGTCTTGGGCACGAAGACCTCTGTCTCTCAGGAAAGTGTGAATCACAAACTACATTTTTTTTTTTTTTTTTTTTTTTATTCTTTTGATTTATATGCTTATCTCTGTACTTATAGATGTGTGTCTGTACGTGCGTGTGTGTTTTTATTTGTTTTATTCATTTATCTATCTATTCATTCATTTATTCTTTAATTTATTGTTTTGTGAATGTTGTTCTTAAATGTCTTTTTGATTATTTATCTGTGTATTGATTTATTTTTAGTTATTCATTTGTTTGTATCTGTTTATTTCGGGAAAAATAAATTCGATTTGACAACGAAAGAGAGAATTTTCGAAAACATTATTTTTATCCGTAAATTTCTTTATCTTATGAAAATTTAATTCGATGAGTTTAATGATAGATTATTTTAAGTATGATTAGATTCATGTCCTTGATTATTTTTATGTCTTTGGATTCGTGATAAAGAGAAGAAAGATGTAGAATAAGATCGTGTTTTGGTTTACGTGAAGTAACTGTATTGTTAACAGATTCTGTGAACTGCACTTATCAAATATCCATGGTTTAAAAAGACGTCTTTTTACAGTGTCAAAACAATGAAGGGAAAATTGCATCAATGTCTTTGTTTTTAAAGGTTTTGCAATATCCAACGGAAGGGCAGTGCCTATCCTCTTCACATGGGGCATACATCTTTTAAAAAAATTATACAAAATCGTATTCTAAACTTGCAAAATCATTTCTTTTAATCAAACATCTATGGACAACAATTCAAAAAAAAATATCTCGTTTTCCGATGTTGAGCCAATAAAGATAATTCAGATTTAGAATTATTTATGAAATACAAAAAATAAGAAATAAAAAAAATAGTCTACCCATTTCCCACGTGAGAAATAGACTCCGCCCCCTTTACACGCCTCGCCCCTCCCCTTTTCCCCGCCTGGCTCCTCCCCCTTCCACGCCTCGCCCCGCCCTCCCTTGGCACCCAGAGGGCAACCCGGTAGGCACTCGGTGTCTCTCGCTCGCAAGGGGCAGTTGGCATCACACTCCCTTGGTAAGAACCGACCTCGTCAAGAAGGGCATTCGAAGGGCGCGCGTGTTTTGTTTTCTCCTTCTCCGTGCGCAGTGCTCGTGTCTTTTGTTTTCTTCGAATTCTCCGTGCGCAGTGCGTGTGTTTTTTTTTTAAGATCTTTTACATGTATTTATTTGCTCTTTATGTGATGTGCTTGTGTTTCGTGTTTTGTGATAATGACTTTGATTGTTTTATTGTGCAATTTGGTGAAGATGTCGATAATTTTTCTGTTTTGTATTGTAGAATGAGTGTAGGCCTATACGTGCGTTTAATAATGACAATGTTAATGATACTAATTATGATATTAATTGTTATTATAATAATGATTATGATGGTGATGATGATGGTGGTGGTGCTGAAAAGTAAAATGATAACGATAATGATAATAATGATGGTAGTTATTGCTGATTATTATTGTTATCATCCTTATTGCTATTCTCATTATCATAATCATCATCTAAACAAGAAAATAGTTGACCTTGAATATTATCGTCTTCATTATCATCTTATTATTATTATTATTATTGCTCTTGTCATTTATTCTTAATCTTTGCGTCTCACTCACTTTATTTTATTCGTCTGTGTCCCTGTGTCCGATTCTGTGATCTGTGGCTTCGAGTGAAATATCAGTAATGTGTTCGAATGCGTCCTTTAGAACTTCGTTTTTAATTTCGAGTTGTTTTCGTGTCGTGTTTTTTTAAGGATGTGTTCGATTCTCTTGATTTTTTTTTATTTGTTTTTTTTTGTGATTATTTGGGTAATTATGAGATGTCTATCTTATTTTTTTCGTATTTTCTTTTTTTGCAAAGAATATATTAGAATATTTTGTAAGCTTATTTTTACGTACTCATTCATACATTGTCACAAACACATAAAAAACGAACAAACGGAAAACTAGCTACACCGATACCAAAACACCACATACACGCAAAACACATCACAATACCACAACATTACAAAAACAATATCAAGGAAACACACAGACACGAAACCAGTAAGTACGAGCTATAACCACAAGGCAAAACAACACATACTAAAAACAGTAAGAAACACGACCATCAACCACAATGCAAATACACATAAGATACACACCTAACATACAAAAACACACCGCACATGAACACACATACAAGACACCACAAGGCCCCGCCACCAACGGACCACCTTTACGCACCGAGAGAGACCCTACTAATCACTGTGCAACCCCCAAACCCCCCAAAACACCCACATCATCCGGAGCCCGGACACCTCACCCCGCATCCCACACCGTCAACGCCCTTGCAATGCACAGGCGCGGACTAAACAGTACCACGAGGGAAAGTAAACGATCAGCTAACCCCACAACCCTAAGCGGGTGGAAGCGCGTGGCCCACATCTATCACACGTAAGCAAGACCACGCACGGCCATTAATGCCACTCCCTCCTAACCTTCCCCCCCCCTGGTCCGACCCCAGGGTGCTCTGAGCACTTACCCACCCTCTAGGATGGATCCCCCACCACTCAGCCTGCAGCGTACCAAGGAACACCCCAACATGGCCGACCCGCCTGCACCTCGCTACCCACCCCGCTAAATCCACCCCCTATCTCCTTACCCCGAGGGCCCCCTCTCCAACGTTGTAACCATAAAGCCTTTAAACAAACATGCACCGACCTTCAGGGCATACGCGGGCCCCGTCCTATGCCTAATGACGCACACAACCTTCAACCCCACACCCCCACCCCTGTTCACCACATCTTGCCTATAGGCGCAGTCTGCACACATGTCTCCCCATCCAGCCACAAAACCCCACCCTAAGCCACCTAAAATTACCACTAACGTCAACGCCACACACTAAACCCACCCACCCCGACCGTTATAACACTCACACTTACTACCCACGCACTAACCCTGCTACCAAACCACCGTAACACCCAACCAACCCGACTTACCCACAGACATAACTCAAATAAAAACCCATTAACCCATTCCGCCAACTCACAAACTAACTCCAGTAACCCACACAAGGTAAACCCACCAACCAAAAACCCACAGCCAACCCCTTAACCCGCTAACCACCAGTCCACTACCCACCCACTAACCCACCAAGCCTCCATTAACCCACCAAACCCACACACTAGCCCACAAACCAACCAACAACCCACTTAGACCATACCACATAAACCACCCAACCCACTAACCCACCCCGCAACCCACCAAATCCATCTTACCTCTCTAACCCACCTCAACCACCCACCAATCGATTCAACCTTCTTAACCCCCAACCCACCCCTCAACCCACAATCATCAACCTTTCTAACCCACCCACTCAACCCCACCCATCAACCCATAGTCCAAACCCACCACCCACAAACCACCAACACCCCAACCCACCACCTTCAAACCCACCCACCAAACCCACCACCACCCAACCCCACCAACCACCAACCTCACCCACACCACCACCCCTCACCAACCCCAACCCACCCACCAAACCCCCAGCTGCCACAGCCAAATCAAGCGAAATAGTTCACAATGTCCAAATTCTCCAGACGGGCTGGTGGTGTCGATAATTACCAGAACAGGGAGTATGGGGTTTGGAGAGGTGGGTGGGATGGGTGGAAGGTGATAGGCTAGTGTGCGTTGTGGGTGGATGGGCATCTTTACCTTGGGGGGAAGAGGGCTGGTTGTTTCTGCGTTTTTTTTTTTTGTTTTTTGTTCAATATATATTAATATATTTTATATCCTCTAGATTATTGGGGGGGATCCGTTTTTATTTTTTTTTTAACGGGGCTCGTTTTTTATTTTTTTTTTTTATTTTGAGGGCGGTGTATATTTTACTTATAGTAACGGAACAAATAAGTGGTGTTAAAATAAATGTGTATACTCTCTCTTTTTTTTTTTTGTGAGGGAAGGGAGTACTGGATTTAATATAAAGATTCAGGGTCGTGGTTCTATTCATTATTTTTAAAGGTAGAGGGAGGAGAGTGTTCTGATAGATATTGGCTATCTATCTTTTTATAGGGGCATAAGGTTCTATCTAATATTTTTCGGTATAACTGGGGATGTCAGTATGACGTTAAGATATGTTCTAGTTTTAAAAGTGATCGTTTTCATTGAGATGTTTCTCTGATGGAAGTTCATACATCTGTGGTGTTCTGTTCAATGGATGTATTCTTGTGAGCGTTCTCTCTCTCTCTCATACTCTTTCTACTACTTACTTACTCTCTCGCTACTCTATCCTCTCGTCTCTCTCTCTGTCATCTACTCTACATCCCTAACTCTCTACTCTCTACTCCCCCTCTCAAACTTCTCTTCTCTCTCTACTCTACTCTCTCCTCCAATCTCTCTCTCTCTTCATCACTCACTCTATACTCGACTCACGTCACTCACCACACTCTCTCAATACTCTCCTCTCTCTCTCTCCATCTCCTGTTCTTCCTCTCTCTTATCTATTCTATCTCTCTTCTCATATTCTCTATCTATCTATCTCCCTCCCCCTGCCACTCTCTCTATTAACTATATCTATTATCTATCTTTATCTTACTAATATGTTACTCTCTCATCGCAACTCCACTTATAACTACACATATAATATATACTCACTGCTAAAGAAAATACGATACCCAAATACTAATCTCTAACAATAATTACAAAAATCAATAGAAAAACTGAAAACCGATCAGCACATGATCACATGAAAATGAGATCTGCTTCTTTCCA